TAGTATTGTGATGTCACTAAGGATGTACCAATATTGTGTCCATAGTACTGCGATATATCACTAAGGATGTACCATCATTGTGTCTTTAGTACTTTGATATATCACTAAGGATGTACCAATATTGTGTTTTTATTACTGTGATATATGACTAAGCATGTACCAATATTGTGTCTCTAATACTGTGATATATGACTAAAGATGTACCAATATAGTGTCTCTTGTACTGTGATATATCACTAAGGATGTACCAATATAATGTCTCTAGTACTGTGATATATCACTAAGCATGTGTCAATATTGTGCAGAGGAAATAGGAGGATGGGGCATCTAGGATCAATGACATTATTGTTAATAATAATAAAGACTACAAAACCAACTTTGTTTCATTGCATACCTATCACCAAATCTACATGCCCCTGTTTTTATAAAAAATGAACATTTTTCTGTTGGTTTATCAGCTTTAATCATCGGCTCTGGATTACACCAAGGTCCATCATCCTGTAAAATAACATTAATTTTATAATATTAAAATATAGTTAAACTTCACATGGTGAGATGGACTAAAAATGGTAGGAAAGATCACATCATATGGCCACATGATCATAGCATAGGTGGAGAAGGTCATCTATGCATACAGATTTATCATGTATGTAAGTTGGATAGTTATGACCTAATTTGAATGTAAAAACAAAATATGGAAGTTGCTTGAAATGACTCTTTAAAGAAACAATTTTAAGAAATTCAAAAGCACGCAAAAAGAGTGTGCATTTATGTACAGCAACACAGAAACAAAATTGCTATCCATGCTGTTAATTTAAGTTGAATGACCTGACTCTTATGTTCACTAAATCAACATTTATCAAGAACTTAAACAAAATTTACCTATCAACCTGATTAGATTAGTTAAATTGCTAGAAATCATTACTGCCTATTTTGTGGAATGGTTTATTAGGATACCACCTCTGACGGTGACCATTTCTAGCAGATATTTGTTATTAAATTTATTGAAAATGTTAAAGATTGAAGTTATTAAACAAAAAATTGAAACAAGTTTTAGCCCAAAAAAGGCCACGATTCAGCTATTTTGATTCGGATTGTCAAACCAATATATCTGTAAATCTATGACATGATGTATAATGAATATATAAAATTTGAACATAATTAGTCAGGGTTATGGCACTAGAACCTCATTCATTAAAAAAAAATTGCCACAAGTCGGCCATTTCGAAACTGATCTGACAAAACAAAATGATATGCATCAAGGTGTTGGTACCATTTCAATGATTTTCAGCACAAAAATGGCCACCATCAAGCGATGTTGAATCAGATCGTGAAACAAATTGATGTGATATGATATGATGTGATATGATGTGATTGAAAGACAGTTTCAACAACAACAAGCCATGCATGGCACAGTCCCCATTAGTTATCAAATTTAAGATATATACAGGTAGTTTTGTTTATAGTAAAATAGCTGGAATATAAACATGTCAGGAATATGTTGATTGTTTAACATTTGAATGATTGACATTTGCATCTGATCGTCAAACGAGTATTGAGAGATATTGCTCTGGAACAGCATTTATTAAAACAAAATCAGCCATTTTGAATACATGTATAATGAATATATAACATTTGAACATAGTCAGTCAAAGCAGAGATATGGTTCTAGAAGCCCATTCATTAAAACAAAATGGCCAATAGTCAGCCATTCTGAATCTGAGCTAACAAATAAAATAACGTGCATCAGGAACCCATAATGTCTAATGTATGTACCAAGTTTGAACAAAATCCATCCATAAATGATTGATATTTGATGATTTTTTAGCACAAAAATGGCCACCATTCGGACATTTTTAATAAAATCATCAAACCAGTATATCTGTATATCTATGACATGATGTATAATGAATATTTAAAATTTGAACATAATCAATAAAAGCAAGTCAAAGACATGGCACTTGAACCACATTTATTAAAACAAAATGGCTGCCAGTCGGCCATTTTGAATCTTATCAGAAAACAAAAGGATGTGCATCAAGGCCCTATAATGTCCAACGTATATACTAAGTTTGAACAAAATTCATCTGTATACAGCTGAGAAATGCTTGATTTTGATGAATTTTAGAACAAAAATGACCGCCATTCGGCCATCTTGAATAAGATCGTGAAACAAATTGATGTGCATATGTATAATATCATGTATGATGTATGTGTGAAGTTTGATTGTGATTGGTCCAGGCATTCCTAATATACAGGTCCAGAAGCACCCACACACACACGGACGGACAGAAGCACACCCACACAGAGGTCAAAACCCAAGTCCCCGTTTTCGGACTGCGTCTCAACGGGGACTAGAAAGGACAGATATACAAACTGACCTTCATCTCGAAAGATACAGACAAGGAAAAAAAAAAGCATTTGTATTTGTATCATATTGAGCTCACCTTTTCATTCTGATTTGCACTTAAATTCTTCAGAACATCCTGGTTAAAGACACAATATCTGAGAATTCAAGTAGTTAAGGACAAGACATAGATAGTGCAGTCATCAAAGAATAATTTGGTATATGGTATGTGAAGTTTCCTTCATGACCAAGTGTACATATATGTACATTTTAACCTAAATCAGAAACATGTAAAACAATAACAAATCTTCCATCATGACCATTCTAGCAAAGAAGCAAAGCAACAACTAATGAACTAGAGTGATTGTAGTTTATATCAATGGGCTAAGAAATCAGTCAAAATACAAAGGTCAGCTGCAATGGTAGATACTGAAAGAAAGCAAATTTTGAAAAAGATACAGTGTATATAAATGTAGTTTCATTGAGAACCATTTACACCACAAGAAAACAACTCAATATATGCATACTGTTTGAAAATGTTAAGGAAATGAACAGCAGTAATAATTCAAACAAAAAAAGTTAATAAATTATAGAATATCGGTTTAAAAAATTCCCATAAATAACATGGCAGACACGAGGGACACCAGACTCAAAAGTTAGTGACCCTGATGAAATTTCATCCTTGAATTATTAAATGTCTCGGTATTTAGCTACTGACTCATCTGCAGGATTTCACCTTTTTTTGCAACTTGATATTTCTGGAAATTAGAGTTAATTGGTGACCTTAATTTTTATCTTGAAATTGTATTTTGGGCCTTTCAAGTTTAAAATAGGTACTGCAAGGAACAAACTTGTTGTGCACATATTTCAAGTACTTATTCCTACACCTTTGACTGACAGCAAGGGCTCCATAACTCGACTGGTGATCGACTTTAAAT